CCCCCCCCCCCTACCAGATCATGCTGGATCCATCCCTGACTGCCAGTAAATGGGTAAATTATAAAAGTGAATGTTAAATATGAATTAAGTTGAAATCGGTTGTAATAACCAACTGATTCATTAACCCATTGAGTTGCAAGACTCCCCTTGATGAGTAAAATCATCTAGCGTTAGACAGAGTAAAGATTTATTGTGTTATCTGCCGCTGTTGGAAGATCCTTAATTCCTTGAACATTTTACTAAAGACTTGGTGTTCATCTGCTGCTGTTGGAAAATCCTTTTCCTTGAACATTTTACTAAAAATTTACTGTGTTATTGTGCATAATTTCTAGGGAAAATATAAGAAAAACTTTTAAATTTTAAATTTGTGGACCCAGGGGGAGGGACCGGGGGGCAACATTTTCTGGGGGGGTCCCCCAGCTCTGGCTAGATTACTGTACAGTATTCCCTAAAGCAATAAAATATTATTAATATTTCTAAATTTTAAATTTGTGGACCCAGGGGAAGAGACAGCTTAACCAAGGCATACAAAAGTTAGATGTACCGGGGGGGCAACATTTTCTGGGGGGGCCCCCCGGCTCTGGCTAGGTTACTGTACAGTATTCCCTAAAGCAATAAAATATTATTAATATTTCTAACTAATAATTATTACTAATTATTAGTAAATATTTATTATTTATGTTGCTCTAATAGTCAATTAGTCAAGCCGGACTACAAGATTCAAATGCTAATGGACCAATTGCACAAGGCAGATTAAAAGAGTGACTAACAGACTAACAGTGATGCGACCGTAGTTGGGTTTCAATCTGAATCATGTGACACTTTAGTACTTGGTGGTCAACTCCAAAAGGAAACACATCGAGTTCATTATTCATTATATTAATTCACCTTGTAATTCAATAGCAAATACAGAACATTTAACAAAATTTGCTCACTTCCACAAGGCATATAAAGCGACAAACGTGCAAAGTTGACCACCATGTGTTTTCCTATGAATGTGTCACCAATATTATTAAATACTATGCCACATGTGGGCTATATTTTTCCCTTGGAAAATAAAAACATGTTGCGACAATGTTTATGAGTTAAAATGATTTTAAAATTAACCCCAAATAGGTAATAAAAGTAAGTATATATTTCGCTTTGCACATACCTATTTATCTATATAATATATATAATAGTTTCTTGTTTAATACAATCTTTAAATCTCAATTTGTAATGATTTGTTTATTTGTATAAATGCATCATTTGTAATGTGTTTATTGCGTTTGTTTATATAAAGTTTACAGCACTTGAAATACCGCTGACCTGTATGTATTGCAGTTTCAGATATGTACGTATCTTGTCTATGATCTAGTGCCGACCCGGCTTTGATAGCGCATATTTTTCTTATAATTAGATCTATAAGAAGATCTTGGAATTCCTAAAGATTGCTTTCCAGTAAAGCGTTTTCCAAATACGTACGTATACGCACGGATTCCATGGAAAAGTATAAATCTTTCTTAATTTTATATTTGTACACTTTAAATCAGAAAGAGAAAAGCAAATGCTGCGCTTTTATTCGTTTAAATATTTCACAACAAACTTTTAAATGGATTAAACGTTTTCGCGCACGCGTGAAAAGCTTAAAGTCATATTATTTGTCATTGTTCCAATGTTTCCAATAGCCCGCAGGATATTGTTTCTAATCAATTGACTCCTTGTTAGAATTTATCGAAACCGCATGTATACCGGCAATATTTCAAGGAAATTACAAAAGTGTGTTTTGAATAAAAAAACATGTGCGTTGCTATTCACCAGTCAAAAGTGTGTTTTGCCAAGGTCAATGTTATTATCTAATTGTTTTAGTTTCTGAAAAACAGTAGTGGTATGTAGCAGATACAAGTACCGGAAAAATACAAAGAGAAGCCCAAATATTAATGCTTCATGAAATCATGAGCTAGTGAAAGAACTATATTTTAATTTCTAACAATTCTATTTTTTGAAACAGAACATATTTTCTTTGTGTAAAACTCTGCACATGAAGAGGACTACCAAGACATGTTAGTTATTATTGTCGATTTCAAGTCACTTTTCAACGCGCGGTTTCCAAGTTCGTTGCAAACTTGCCAATTACGTTTCCAAGTTCGGAAATTGGGCGCGAACTTCGCAACAAAGTTCACAAGTACACTTTCAATGTTTGAACTATTGTAAACAAATGTTCATAATTCAAGTTGAATTAACAATTCAATGGAAAGATCTTGGTCAAGTGGGCTACCAAGAAGGTTTGTATTTCATTGAGTTGGTTATTATCATTGAGTATGAACATTTGTTTACGAACGAAGTTCAAACATTGAAATGAACTTGCGCGAACTTGTTGCGAAGTTCGCGCCCAATTTCCGAACTTGTAAACGTAATTGGGAACAGCGCGTTGAAAAGTGACTTGAAATCGATAATAAGGCCCGTTTTGCTTTAGGTGCGATCTTCTTCTTTTGATGGATGAGAACGAGTGGACGAGATGAGGGTACATATATCATTCATAACTCATCTACTCGTTCAGATGCATCAAAAATTGCATGTGTAAACGGACCCACACGCAATACTTCATTGCATGGAAATTACAAAACTAGCGTGTTTTAATTCAAAACACGTGCTATTGCTATTTACCAGTATGTGGGCGTCTTTTGCCGAGGGCAATTTTACATTTTGAAAACTTAATTCTATCTCACTTAATTAAACTAATTTCGTAAAATTTAAAAAAACATTCATTTAAAACAATTTGATGCTCAATCTGTAAAATCAAACTTAAATTTCATATGTATTTTCAATCCAATTAGTTGTTTTAATCGCTTAATTACTTGATTTTAAACATTAAAGCTACTTAATATATACATGTTTGCATTGTTATTAATTTCAAGTCTTTCATTTCAGTTAACTATTTCAGCGGCTGTGCATGTGCAGATGCTCTGTTGTGCAGATGCTCTAGCTTGCTCTGTTGTGCAGATGCTATCTTCACGATTAAACATTTGTAGACAAATATATATATATAAGTTGTAGTTGTTTTCCAATTCAAAATGTGCTAATAGTTTTGTTTGTGGAAACACTACGTAAATTTATTACTGCAGTAATAAATTTACGTGGTGTTTCCACAAACAAAACTATTATATTTTATCACCATCCAAACATACAAAGAACTTATTCAAAATGTGCTGTTGCTATTCACCAGGCAGTATATGCATGTACGCGTGTTTTACCAAGGGCAATTTTATTTTCTGAAAGACCAACTGAAGAAAATTTCCATGCGTGTGAATGGCAGAATATGGACTATGGAGGACGTAGCACAGTCCCTTAAAAATAAATTGCAAACGTTTATATATTTCTGTCAATTCATCTTGTTATACGCAATGTGTTCGCATTAATTTTACGTCTTTACAACTAACATATTGTTGTCGTTATGCCAATATTTCCAACCCCTCTAGCGAATCATTTCCAGTTTAATCTCTATTATTAGAATTTGCTGAAATTGCATGCACCCGCAATATTTCAAGGAAATTACAAAGCTGTGTTTTGATAATCCAAAATGTGCTGTTGCTATTCACTAGTCAGTATATACACGTGTTTTGCCAAGGGCAATTTTCATTTTCTGAAAGACCAAGAACATGGCGGACATAGTACAGCCCCTTAAATTCAACACATGATCGGCTCTCACGAAATCTCTTCGGTTTCAAAAAAAATATAGATTGCAAACGTTTATAGAATGTAATGCAGAGGGGACTCGCCCGCGCAGAGTAGTTGGGGTCAGTTAATATCGACTTCAAATTAATGCGAACACATTACATACATAACAATTTAAACGTTAGGCTACGTTACATTTACGTTAATATGTTCGCATTAATTTTAAGTCGATATTAACTTACTCCACTGACTCTGCGGCAGGCATCCTCAATAGAAATGAAAACATTAAGGTGTACAATGCATTATTACACAATGCACAACTAACATTTGTTGTCGTTATGCCAATATTTCCAACCCCTCCAGCGAATCGTTTCCAGTTTAATCTCTATTATTAGAATTTGCCGAAATTGCATGCACCCGCAATATTTCACGGAAATTACAAAGCTGTGTTTTGATAATCCAAAAATGTGCTGTTGCTATTCACTAGTTAGTATATACACGTGTTTTGCCAAGGGCAATTTTCATTTTCTGAAAGACCAAGAAACTCTCCATGTGCGTGAATGGCAGAATATGGCGGACATAGTACAGCCCCTTAAATTCAACACATGATCGGCTCTCACGAAATCTCTTCGGTTTCAAAAAAATATAGATTGCAAACGTTTATACAATGTAATGCAGAGGAAACTCGCTCGCAGAGTCGTTGGGGTAAGTTAATATCGATTTAAAATTAATGCGAACACATTACATACATAACAACAAGATGAAAATCTTATTGTTACGTTAATATGTTCGCATTAATTTTAAGTCGATATTAACTTACTCCACTGACTCTGCAGCAGGTATCCTCAATAGAAATGAAAACATTAAGGTGTACAATGCATAATTACACAATAGATGCACAACTAACATATTGTTGTCGTTATGCCAATATTTCCACCCCTCCAGCAATTCGTTTCCAGTTTAATCTCTATTATTAGAAATTGCCGAAATTGCATGCACCCGCAATATTTCAAGGAAATCACAAAGCTGTGTTTTGATAATCAAACATGTACGTTGCTTTCATCAGTCTCGTGAGTGTGTTTTGCCGAGGGCAAATTCATATTCTGAAAGGCCATGTGCAACGGAACAAACCATCATACAATGGTGTTCATCTCGTACATACGGCGGTCTCTTTTACCCAATAAATGTCAATAGTTGACACCCCCTGCATAGCAGTTTTAATTATAGTTTGATCAATATTTTACTGCCAAATATTATTTACTCGCATGCAGGAAACGTTCAATTAATAACTGTACCAAATATTGCAAATATTACAAACTTGGAATTTATAAATATATGCATGCACAGTAGTCAATGGCCATATTTCCAAACTTATTCACTAAATATAGATAGAAATATACTGCCACATTCACAAATTCAAATCTGCAACAGTTTAATTCAAAATAATTCCAAAAATCAATTAAGCAACATTCAAAGTATTTGAAAAGATACATTATGAGTTTGATGTTTGTGATGTTCCTCTGTCAGCTCTGAGTGTATATCCACACCGGACAAGCTTGAAAAATATGCCTGGCCACAGTGGGAATCGAACCTACGACCTTTGGAATACTAGCCCATTTTTCAATTTTTCAAGCTTGCCCGGTGTGGATATACACTCAGAGTATTTTAAAAACATCACAAACATCATATTCACCTAAGTACATAACACCAACACAGAAAAAATCACATTATGAATTTGTTTGTTAAGTTTGTTTTTAATAGTGCCCTCGAGATCCCCCCAAATTTTGAGATTGTATTTCGATTATAGATGTATGTCAGCGAAACATGATGACATTACTCTTATTTATGCGGGATTGCAGCTGATAAAACTAAACAAACTCGAATATATTTACGCTATTTGTAGTAACGATTGAGGAAGATTGATTATATTCATGAGTTCCACAATATGGTATTAAATTAGCATGCGTGTGGACACGCCAAAATGCAACTGGATGTGACGGCTAATGCATGACTGCAAAAAGCTAGCTTTCTAAAAACCCGCCTTTTATCAAAAAGTTATACCAGAAGGGCTCAAATATGCACAACATGAAACTACATTGGTCTAGAATCTAGATGCATTGCGGATCATTAAATAATCGTCAAGAACATTCAGTGGAAGATTAGCAGCATGATGAAGCAGGGGCGGATCTAGGATTTTTCGTACCTCAGTCAAAATTTTTTGGTGGACGGGGCGTTATTGGCGCTGGGCGTGGTCTCGACTGGGCGTGGTCGACTCCAGACGGGGGGAGTGGGCGCTAAATAATTTTTGTGTTGATAGTCCGCCACTGGATTTTTAGAATTTTCCGTACATAAAATGCGATTTGCCCCCCCCCCCACACACCTATTAACTAAATCCTAATTAATCAAATTATAAAACAGATTTAGATTAAATTGATGAACTCAAACGAGCATTTGATTCTTATCCACAGGCACTGTAAGAACAACTACAAATGCACTGCACAAAGATATATTGATGATAATACTTTAAAACTCAGCAGCAATTTAATATGTTTCATTTGCCTGTGGATTAAGAATCGTCGTCATATTGGTACTATATGCTTATAAGTGTATCATTGTAAAACTTCTAAAATCATATGGCAGCAAATGCATTAAGGAAATATACTGTTCTGTTACCAAAAACACAGAACTATACATCACAAGTAATTGCCAGTAGCCTAAGCTCAAAAAAAACAACCACATATTCATTAACTAAGTCAAAGATGTTAATTCAAATATTAATAAACTAAACTCTTACTATTAATAAAGTCTTACTGTGGTCTATATATTGAACACAAAATATACTATTAATAAAGTAGTAACATCAGAATGGCTATACCAGTCAAAGAGCTTTTCAAGCTACCTACAATTAAATATTTCACATCATCATGTTACATCAGACGTCGACCAATGCGGTCTAACAAGCCTTGTCGATAGGCTATGGATAAACAATACACGTATACGCGTTACGCGTACATGTTGTGTGATTAATGCATAAATATAAAGAAATTTTAAATAAAACTTCACTAACATGAGAATCAATAAATGCTTACAATGTAGACATTGAATACTAACATATTTTAGCTTCTTGACGCGAAAATTATGCTAATACAGCAATATAGCATAGCGAAGATATTAAAATATCATATGTCAGACAATCATTAACAACACCGATGGCTTGGTACTCCGCTTTATAAACCTTTAATATGAACTAAAGATACATAACTATAAAACCATCAATTTATCTACCTTATTGCAGTGCAAGCTTTGTCTTTCTCTAGCAGTAGCTCTCTGCGCCAAAATTTCTAGCGCGGCTTCTGCTTGTGTTGTTGATGGCGCCGCTCAGTAGCTTGTCAACAAAATTCGTCCGTGAGGCATCGATATTCTTTTCAAGCTCCGTATACAAACGTTGTATAGAGATTCCAAATTGTTTGCCGCAATCGCAAACTGAACATTGTCGAAAATGTTTCCAGATATCGCTGGTAGAAATCGCTCGTAATAGTAAACGTTCGAAATAGTAAACACTCAGAGGTAAACACTAATGCGGTGTTGACGAATACCTCACGTTGCGAATCCATCGAAAATATAAGCCAATGACAGTGCAGAATTTTTTTAAATGGTTCAATCAGAAGGCTCATACAGAGCCCCTGAATCTGCAAATCCGTCAGGCCTCCCCACAGATCCGTCGCAAATGGCCGTAACCATGGAAATGAGCGTGTCAGCCAATCAGATAGCCGGATTTGACCCCCGAATCCGTCAACTTTCATGCGTAAGACCGCTGTTCGTGACTGACTAACATTACTTTGCCGAAGCTCTGCCGCAGCATGAAACGTATAACTGGACTACCGGTACGATTCAAAATTTTAGTAACTCGATCTACTGGCCACTATAGATAGCTGGAGTCAAATTTTTTTAAGTAGGCAATTTTTACTTCAGTCGCGCGACTGATTTGACGACCCCTAGATCCGCCCCTGTGATGAAGTGATTATGGAACCGATTCTCGTCATTCTCGTTCCGGACACATTCAATGAAGGCCGGAGCCAGAAGGGTTTGAAATAACAGCCGGTCAACGGACATTGTCCTAGGCTGCGCGCAGTCTGACATTGTCTGGTATGACTTAAGTATTGACCGAACAAATCCTTGCATTGTCGGTCACCATGCAAGTGTTGTCCGCTCAACTAGAATTGCTCAAAATTAGATTTTCTTGCGAAAGCGCACGACAGACATTCATGTTGCCAAAAATGAAGAATATAAAACTAGATTATGGAATAAGAGTCTGGCCGTCCGTTGCACAACCTTGACTGAATATTAGTTTTCAATGTTAATTTTACAATATGTAAATAAATCTAGTAGACATTTTGTCTATACACACAAACCAGCCCTTGAAAGGGCTTACATAAAAGTGACTACTACGACCAAAAACGAGTCACGTGTCCAAGCAAAAATATGCTTGACAGGACAACGTCTTACAGTAACGGCGCCTGTCAGACCAATGTATTTAAATAAAAAGAGACAGTGTTCCGCCAAAAAAGGGTACCCATGCATGACAGGGTGGCTTAGGATACATACTGCATGTATGAGTATATTTCCGTATATTTTACTGCATTTAAATACACAAATTGATTAGTAAAGACAAGGTTGCTATTCCGGCTTCCTTACTTCGTTGCACAAAGCCCGTTTAGCGCTATCCACTGGTTACATTTCGGCTATCCAGCGGATAAAATTAAACGGTGTCTTGAGACTGTTTAAATTGTTATAAACTCGAAGTTTGGGGGCAAATCAATCAATATTTCGGATGAACGTGGGATAGTGATAGAAATACACAATCCTGTTGAGGAGTATATCGTGTCAGAGTATGGATAACCTGAATTTCAGGTTAGAGTATGGAGGGTTACCCATCAAATAATAATACCCTTGACTTTGAGTATAGCAGGCTTAACTCAGTGGTATTGTTGCAGCACGCTTACCTGGGCGGTGACTTTCTGTGCGATATGTTATCATAATGAGAATGAGGTAAATATGGCAGTATGGGTGGACCAGCTGCAAGAACGTTGGGTGGGATAAAACTGCGAGTGTTATGAAGGTGGTTATATTCATGTGTAGATGGGATGGCAGAGTATGGGATTGCATCGAGTGCTGAGAACTGTGGACTCATCAGAATTCCTGAAAAAAATATTAAGCAATTTTAATATTTTAATTAATACAATAGATGGGTTTCAATGAGTCTAAGACCTTCATACAACAGAGAGCATGTTAACTGACATATTAATATAACAGATTATAAAATAACACGTATATAACGTACGCGTGCTCTGATTGATCGAAACCCGTGTTTGGATCAGACCATCCAAACACGGAAGACTATCGTGTTCTTGTTATTTTATAAAACAATTACTTTATGGTTTCTCTGTTAGGATGGCCTGATCCAAACACTTGGGAATGTTGCTCGAGTTAAGAAAAGCGCGCAAAATCACTCGCCTTCGGCTCGTGTTTTCGCGTGTTCTCGTGTTTGGATCAGGCCATCCAAACACGGAAACCATAAAGTAATTGTATAATCTTAAAATACTTAAAATAAGGTTATTTCATTGTGTGTGTGATATTGTATCATAGACGGATTTTCTGGGGGGGTGCAGGGGGGGGCTACCAATATTAGCTATAAACCCCCCAAACAAAATGTCCACCCCTCCAAAAAAATTTTCAACCCACCCCCCCAATATTCGGCATAATAAATAAATAAATAGTCCACTCCAACGTGCAGAGTGTTGATGATACAAAATAAACGTAGCAGTACACTCGAACAGAAAAAGACAGTGCAACACTCTGAAACTAATCGCTCCTCGCTTGCGTTCACTGGTTTATTGGAACAATTGTAACGTTTTGAAACTCTATTATCTTCCCTGAATAGAGTTTGCAGTGCCTTGTCATGCGAATAGTTTGCACGCAAGGAACATTTGGAATTTTTACGAACACTATTTTTAGTTTTTAATTCTTTTAGGAAATAGACTTGCCTAGATTTAATCTTTGCGCCCCAAATATTATTTACATCGGAGTTGCATCATAAATTGTACTTGGATTCAAACAACACAATGTCAATGACTTTATAAAAGTAAAAGCATATTGTGTATTGGCCTATTGGGTTTACACTTTTACAGGTTCATTTCACTTTAAGTCTTTAACTCTCTCAAGTCTCAACAGACAATCGGACATGCCAAATCCATTGATATGACAAATTGACCACTTCAAAAAACTTTTTTGGAAGCTAGAAATCGTGATTTTTTTCAAATTTTTGCTGGGATACTTTGTTTTCCGCTCTCTAGACTCTCCCTCGCGGCTCTAGTGCTCCACCCCTAGAATATAGACCTTACTGGGGTTTGGTGACACTTTGTCTTGCTTCAGTCACCTGCTCACGGCTCACCCCCCTAAAATTTCTGGCACCACCCCAGTAATAAATATGAAAATCCGTCTATGTATTGTACTCTATTAATTAGGATTGAAACTAGATGTAGTTTAGTTCACTCGACCATGCACTATCTGCTGCCCTGGATCCCACCAATAAGAATAAGTATTTTATCATTGCTTTCTATATATACTAATCTTCTGCATAATTATGACAACGACAAAAATACTTGAAAAGTAAATATTTTCACCGTTTCAATGCACGGAACATTCAGCATATTAAGGTTCATGTTCTTTATCTTTACTAATAATATACATAAAAAAATTTCTCAATTCTGATTGGCTATAAGAGCAGTGCAATTTTTTCCAAATACAGCCGGTGCCAAAAAATGAAATACAGTGCAAAAAATGAAATACAGGGCAAAAAAATGAAATACAGTGCAAAAAAATGAAATACAGTGCAAAAAAATGAAATACAGTGCAAAAAAATGAAATACAGTGCCAAAAAATGAAATACAGTGCAAAAAAAATGAAATACGTACAGTGCAAAAAAAGAAATACAGTGCAAATTTCGTAATTTTCTTAATTTTCTATTTTTCATATTTCTTAATCTTCTTCATTTTTAAATGTGACGATTTGCGCACGTGACTGCATAATTTTGTCATGTATATTATTAATAAGTAATAGTATAGTTTCTCGTGCAATTTGAAAAAAAACATACACTTGTGAGTTTTTCAAAGACTTCAAATTGCACTCGTCCTTTGGACTCGTGCAATTTTGATAGTCTTTGAAAAACTCACTCGTGCATGTTTTTTTTCCGCATTGCACTCGAAATAATACTATTACCTATAGTAATTGTCTTTTTCAGGGAAACCTTACTTTTTGCTTTCTTATCTGTTTCTGATGGACGTAGTCATTTCACTCATATACGCTTTTGAATTATTCACGATTTGACTGTTTGAAACTGGAATGGATCTTTTGGGGTCAACCAAAGGTGGATCCACGCATTGCGAATTGTGATAAGGATATGTCCATGGTCTACAAGTCACCCATTTCTCGTAAAAGTCTGATTATGTGAGATAAATAAGGCCACTTTGTCATTGATCAAGAAACTGTGATATAAGACAGTATATAAACTATCCGTTTGTCGTTTTTCAATCATTTGTTTGTACATTGAAAAATATTCTTCTACATTTGAATTGAATTAAGGACTTGTATGCAGTGTAGCATTGAACTATGTCTATAGTATAGACTATAATTGGCAAAATTTTCACATATTCCTCTCATCATTCTTAGTTTCTTACATTTGGTTTCCTTTCATTTTCCGAACATTTCCCTATGTCCACGATTTTACAGTTCTTTATTTGTGTAATAAAATGTCACTGGCCAAGTTTTCCTTTACTTCTTTATTTAACCATAATGTTTGTGTACAGCTAAATGACTGGCTAAATCAAAGGTTTGCAATACGTTTCTTATATTTTCTTACTAGTGAGACCGTTTTCCGTGGATCTTTCTCATTACGATACTCCGTTCCAGGAGATCTTAAATCCCGCCTTTATTCCGTTGTACAGATAAACGCTAACCCGAAAATGCTTACTGAATCAGGTTATGACCTATGTAACTTATGTAGTAAAGTTTGAAATCTTACCAAGAGCGGTTGTCGGATTTCCAGGCACTGGACAAACTGAGTTTCGAAACCAGTCTAACAAAGATATTAAAATTAACCACGTACCATTTCTTCTTTACAAAATAATCTCTACGAGACTACGTACAAATTAAACAGACGAAAAGTTATGCCATCACACGGACTATATATTACTTTAGGTCTATGCTTTGGACATATTGTACTGTCGTTGTTATTTAAAGACGCCTTATGATATTATATAGCTCATACTGCAAATTAGGCTCGATCCAGCCGGTGGAACTGCAAATTGGTAATGGCAAAATATTATATCTTATAGGACTATCCAAACAAATGTTGCAATTAGCTAGCAGTCATGAAATATATAAATTATAACCAATTCTAATACTTTTCTAAATAATACAATTCTAATACAGCATAATTTTGACAAATGACATTAATTTAGTCAACTGGTTTTAACAATTCTATTCTAATCCACATGACAAGAAAAGATAAATTAGTCCAACACATGAAGTTAATTTGAAACAGTTTTAACATTCAATGCTACAGTATATGACCTTGGCTCTAGTGTGTTACATTGTAGATTTTTTTAGCAGTTTGAGCAATAAAATATCAAATAAGAAATGTTTTAATACAAACATTACCATGGGTGCTTTCTGAAATAAATTGCAAATGAAATGCATAAACATGGAGTATATATAGAAATATGAGCCGTACTGTCTACATCTGTCTGACATGTTATTATTTTAGGAGTTTAAATCTGAATTTTTGATTAAGTAAAGTGCATAAGTAGAATTCTTGACATAGCTTGCACTCAAAATAGAGACAAAACACAGGAAATGAATCACTGCTGATAGACATTCTATACCTTAATTCAGACAAAGGTTTAATTAAGCAACCTAACACCATTTAATCAGAACTTAGCTGTAAATATAACTTGCAAATATTACACTGCAGTATTCATTCCTTCACATGATTAAACATTTATTTTACAACTTACATGTGGTGGATTTGTAATTGGTATCCGTAATACTATAAAACTATCACTTAATGGTCAAATTCTACTTCAGTACTCAGAATCATCCTCTCAATGCATGCCTTGAATTCCATGTGGTAATTTCAAAAAATTAAATGTACAATTTCAAATAACATTAAGATTTATGTACACTGCTCTTAAACTCCACCATATTTCAGTCCAGTAATTTGATACAGTGTCCTAGTAAATATTACTAAATTATTACCATTACTACTTAGGTTTCTCTAAGTACTATTGTGCAGCAGATCGATGGAAACCACAACCTGTAGCTAAGGTTGGTTTACTCGAAGTTTTTGTGATCCTGTGATCATAGGAATTTTGCATTGGTAAATTCTAAGTTTTGAAGATTTGTAAGAAATGCTTGATGGAACCAACTCAGAATTTCATTTAAATTCTTTATATGTAGTACTCAAGATTGTATTTGCATGCAATTATATAGAATTGAGAGAATCAGTTTAATTCACTTTCTCCTAGTTAAGTGTCTATCTGCTGCTCTATAACACTTACTGAAACCCACCAACAAACAACATATAGACAAACCTGGTGGTGGAACTCGTTCATAATGGTAAGGATTCACACAAACTTTGTTGTTTTTCAAATCATAACCATAACGACAATACTCAACATGTTTTAGCTCCATCTTATGCACATCAGGAAATCTCCAAAGTCGTGTGTAAATCACATGTGGAAAATCTTTCTTGTCACCAACTTGTAACCTGCCGTCCATTGTTCGTTGTAGTGTAACACATCTAGAAAGTTGCTTGCCCTGTGATGTAACTGCAATTATCAATGATTCAAGTTCATTAGGGCTCTTCTTTAACTTTTTAACAATTGATTCAGTTGCTTTCCTAGCAAAAATTTCTAACTCTGGATTACGGCACTTGTAGTGAACATAATGTAGCAATGTTTGGACAATCAGTGGACAAGGGTCATCTGCAGTTGCAATCGTTGTTGGAATGCTGCTTGGTATAGTGTTGTTGGTATAAGCTAAATGCTCATACAACATACTAGGGGATTCTTCCTGATAGGCAATAGGGTGAACCAATGTTCCACATGGACCAGCAAATGATTGTGTAGAAGCCTCATCTGCAAATAAAGAAAATTAATCTGATAGGCTCAAGTATCAAATTTAATATAATAACTAGAGTAATTAACCCCCAGACTAGCTATCACTTTATCACATACATGTGAATGTGTCATGTTTTCTGGAAAGCTGTTGTCTGTTTCCGGACTAGTTCCTGAAAAGTACAGATTAATCAAGTGTCTTTATCATTCTTAATATTAGAATAAATGTAAACTAATGCTTCTATGAATGTTCTATTACAAATTACAAGCCCTATTAATTACAATCCAGTTTGACTTTATATTATGATAATCTAGCTAAAGTTTACAATTGAGCAGTGATGAGATTAACTAACCGCAAGCTGCTTTCATGATATTGATGATATTGAATATGTATGTATCATCTTAACCTTCATCAGCACATAATTCACTTATGTGAGACTGAATACATTAGGGACACTTGTCTGGTTCCGGAGTTGTCAAAGGAATATAAAATGACCTCTGGAATTAAATATCATAAAATTCCCATCATTTATTCTGAATGTTACATATTGCACACAACTTGGTAGGTTGTAAGTTGTAACGTAATATAGGCCATTCAAGAATATGGAACAATAATCCATAGGAAATCAAATTAGAAATCCTGAAATAGAATAATTACAATCCAGTATGATTAATGGTTTGTTTTGATTAAATCTTGACTACTGAATACATTTTAGGCAATGCATGATTACATTGATTAGAACATTTAGATTGTTGTTATGGCTAAGTGTAAAGCAATGATTGAAAACAATATTGTTACATGCTGACATTTTGAAACAGCTTGATACTAACTTCATTAGAACCAATAGATTTCTGGAAGGAACTATTTCGGATGTCATATTGAGATTTAGTAATAACTGGCCACATGCCAGACCAGATATATAATTCTTGAAAACTAGCTGTTGTAGTGACGTAGTGACACACCATGTTGCAACACAATATGACATGACAATTGTATCGACTGTGTGAAAATACACTAGTGATGTGAATTTTGAATAACTTAAATTATTCAAACCTAGAAATGTAAGAAATGGGCCATTCTATTTAATATACACTAATGGACGAGAATTTCTGAGGGGGTTTGAAAAAGCCATTTCTGAGAGGTTGTGTGCATCGGCATTCTTTGATCTTTGCGTTTTTTTCTGAGGGGTAAGGCAAAAATTTCTTAATTTCTGGGGGGGGGGTTGTTTGTGTCGCACTTTGATCTTTTTTTCTTGGGAGTTCAAATTTTATTGACCTCGTCCATAGGGGGGGTGTATATTAAATGGAATGGCCCAATATACGTGCACCTTTATTTATTAGCATAGCATGGCCATTTGCCACTAGCTGAAGACTATGCTGCTAAATACATTTGATTGGTAGTTTTCTAATCAGTATTCAACATCTCTAAGACTGCTAATGGCAACCTCAGCATATATACTTACAAGTTCATCCCAAATACAAACAGTTTTATTAACCCACATCTTTTAAACCAGTACAGCCTACATGAACCTATTCTGTCTGATGAGTGTATAAGCACCATATATAGACTTCGACCTCCGTTATATACTTATAATGATACATGTAACATTCACTGAATAACAATAAATTGCCATAACCAACTATTCAATAACATCAAAACTAGCTTTTATATATTTCTTCCTTGATTAATGATTAAATTTGCTAGAATTGGCTGAATTGCATCAATTGCTATATGCTGCGCTATACGTAGACCCTGGGGACGAGGTAATAATTTCGCAAGATTTATAACAGGATTTATAATAATTACGTACGCGACATGATTTAACGCCGAATTTTTAATAATATGAATTTATTGCCCGCCTAAATGGCTACTCACGGCATATTGGCCGGTTATATTTTACTGTATCACAGAGTTTTACTTTTATATAATCCCTTCATAATATCCTGTATAATTTGTAAATTGTATGCAAAACGTCAAGCTCTAAAATTTTCAGTGAATCCTGTACAACAACAATGCCTTTTCTGTATTAAATAGATCGAATTCGCTTTACGTGAAATGAGTATATATTTAGGACTATACATGCGGTTTAATGTTGGTATTTTAGTGGTTTTGAATAAGATACAACATGTTTACTACGAGAATACTCGGAAAAGGCGACCTTTGACTTTCGTGTCTGAGGGTCGCGGTGTTTTTAGCATTGCGTGACCAGCAGCTATATGCTTGTCTACGGACGGACATGACACGCAAGCTATTCAAAAATCTATTGAAATAACACAATGTGATCTTGTAAAGAAAATATAAGAACAACCAATCCGCGAAATAAATAATAGACGACAAGCAAAGGTCAAATAAACAATGTTTTTTAATGATGAATGAGAGCCCACACAGTCAGTGACCGTAGTATAAGCTTTTTTAATGCTCGACATCTGGCAACAAAATACATCTTCGCAAATACCGTGTCGACTAAGTCAGGGGGAAAAAATAAAGTTGGACAACTGTACCAAATAACTTGCTGCTAACAATTTTCCTTTACAAGTTAAAGTAGGTGTACTGCAGACGATATTCAAACACCCGTTTTCTATTCTCAGACAGAAACATGTCTGATTAAAGTCTCGAATTCGTCTGGCGTTGATCGCATGGGAAATATACAATAATTGAATACTAGAAATTTCTCTACAGTACAAATGTAATCTCGCATTATATGAGTATTAGTGTAACCGTAGGGGAAGTAACTTAACTCCAAAGAAGATAATATTGAAAATAAAGTACCTATATTCGTCGTAAACAAAGTCACGCGGACCTACAACGAATGACGCAAATACGGGAACATAACACAATATAGAGTCATTGAATACATCACGCTTAGCCACAGGCGTAGACTTTTAGACTACAAGTACTTGCTCTAACGTTTAGTTATCACACAATCACAACTTAAACGTTTATGATTATTATATTACTATTATGATTTCTTTTTGAAGTATTTACAAACAGGAATGTAAAAGGGTACTCAGTGAACCGCTTTGATCAAGTCACAACACGAAAAATAAAAACAACACATAATAATTTAAGAATATCTATGTACATGTAAGCATGATATATTCAAATATAGCAATTCACAAGTCACAATTACACAGGATATTTGCAACAGTAGTAAAACTGATTTAAATGGTGGATTTACTTACTTGGCAATGTGTGTATTGTACCAATTCTCTCGTAATGATACGGATTCACACATACAGTCTCGCATTTCAAGTCAAAGCCATAAAGACACGAATCATTGTGCCGTAATTCCATTTTCTGGATATCCGGCCATCTCCAAAGTCTTGTATATATAACATGAGGAAAACCCTTTCTTTCGCAAACTTGTAATCTGCCATCTAAAGTCCGTGGGATTGTTACACATTTACTCGGTTCTTTGCCCCGAGTTGATACGGCTCGTATTAAAGCATCGAGTTCCTCTGTTTTTTTCCGTAGTTTTTTTACTAATGATTCAATAGCTCTCTTAGCAAATTTTTCAGTCTCGCTATTCTCTCGTGTGTTCGCAAATAGTAAAAGATACATAACAATGTTCACATTTGGATCAGACGAACTGGGAATTCGCTTGTTATTTTCCAATTTGCGTGTCACGCTATCCATAATCATCGGGATTCGAGGTTATATTCTTGTCAAGACGAGAAATACGTACATTAGGAGACATATGAACGTGTTTTTGGTTGTAAACACGCTCACCGTAGATAATCCGAACGTAAATTAGTGTTGAGTGTTGTGCGCAGTGAACTCGCTGAAATCACTGACACAACGCGTGTAGTACACATTAAGCTACCCAATAGAAAGTTTATTTACATTTTTTTAACCAATCACATGCCGGAAATAAACAATAAAATTTAACCTGACACGCAACGAGATTCAAACAAAGTGTCTGTCAATGCAAATTTATCGCGGGAGTTTATATTAATATCGCAGATTCAAGTAGAAATACTTTAAACATAGAATGATGGTAATAAACCTACACTCGACAAGACAATAAATAATTGGCAATTTGCTTGACGTAACTGACCGTGCTACCTGCACATGCTTGCAACATCATTATGTTTGAACTGATTTGCATTTGTACAATGAATGTTTGCTGTTTTTATTATTCTCTACAACCTTTTAAGACCATTTTATCAAAAATTAGGTCACGATTAAAGCGAAACACGCAATGTGAAATTAAGAGCGAATCAAGGAATGTTTTCGCTCGGTCATCAGACAATGTAGGTCGGACAGGTCGATACGGTCTGATTGTCGTGTCATAACCTTGGCTATCGCGAGAGTCTTTGTTTAGAAACAGTTCAAGTTTTTGAATTGCTAATTGTCTGATATGTAAATTCTCAAATGCTTTCTTACGAATAATTGCCTTTACATTGACTGATCTCACCAGTTCTCACTCAGGCCAGTGCCCATAGTGTAATTACAGTCAGTACTGACTTGGGTAGGTCATAAATAGCCCTAATTAACGTGCTTATCCCAATTGTTTGAAGATTTTCCGCCAAAATTTCATGCGTGACAATCAGATATTGCATATACATCAGCTTGAATTTGGCGAGCATTCTGAATATTTAATAAAGCGACAAAGACTGCACAAACATTCAGCACATAGCGATATTTTTTGCGGCTACCTGGCGTATAATGTAAGTGTCTTGCAGGGGCCATGTTGCCTGAGGCGTTACGTATTGCATTGTTCTGCTGTTGGCATTGACACTAGTCTTCCTGATCCCAATTTCGGGCAATTATCAGACAATAAGCTAAGCTGAATGTTCTGCGTGCTGTAAGCCCTGTAATTCTAATCATCAAACGGCAAAGACAAAGGAAAATGATTGCCTTATATATAATGCAATTTGACGAATGCAGATAGGGTACTTCTTCACAACTTCAAACAGTAATTTTACTTTCACAGAACGTCCACTAAGCATTAGGCAATATTGTAAATGTTATAGCTTGTGGATGTGTGTATTCATGTTGAATAAGAATTCGCTGTAACAATGAGATAACTTCAAGTTTGGGTTCAACCAGTAACAGCTGCAATCGTTAGATGCTTCACCACATTTATTTCTTTATTTATTTAAAACCTTTCATCAACTTAAATATGAATAAACATAGAAGGGAAAGTATAAATCACAAAAATGCTGAGTAACTTGATGAGGGGGTCAACGAAGTAACGAACGGACTCGAAGTCCCAGATCAGGGCCGCCCAGAGGTTGGCGGGGGCCCGGGGCAAATTTTTTTTTAGGGGCCCCTATCCAAAAAAATTTTCGCGGAAAAAATTTTTTCCGGATAACAACCTCCCCTTGGCCAAAAAATTTTCGGTCAGTGTACCATTTTAGGGGTAAAAAAATTTTTCCGGAGTACAAAATTTTGCCGGACAAGTACGTTGCAAATGCTTTCGAGGGACTTTATCTCATTTTTTTATGCCAAAATTCGTTACTTAGCCCAAGAAAACAGATATCTTGTCCTTTGCGCGGAAATATTTAACACACAAAAAAGGCTGGGGCCCTACAAAAAATTTTCAGGGGCCCCCAGCAACTCGGAGCCCGGGGCAATTTTCCCCCTTTGCCCCCCCCCTCTGGGCGGCCCTGGTCCCAGTGAGATAAACCCCTAGGGACCTAGGCAAACATAACACTACAACTTGAAAGTAAAAGGAATGAATAAAAATAGAAAAAAGGTGAAAAACCATTGAGCCCCCACACGGCGAGGAACAACAGAACAGGAGGATTAACAGAACAAGGTTGAGCAGATTTTCTGAACCGTAAAGTAATTAGACAGCCCCCCCCCCCAAAACTTTCCTGGGGACATATTTTTAACCCGAACCCTCTAACGTTTTTAAGTGCTGAATGCGGATTACAAATGATATTCAAAGTTCACGCGACTACAGGACGTAATCCAGCTGATTGCCATAGGAGCCAAGAATATAGCCAAGATTATGGAAACCAGTTTTCCAAAGGCAAAGGTGTACATACTATAATGTGTACCTACACAGATCTCAACTTTGTTCCCAGTGTCGTATTATAATTTGCCCTGCCCCTCTCCCCAACGTTTCTGGGCATGGGCGGTTAATAATTACACAGACTTGAGATTACAGATCACTGTCATATTTCATCCAGTGACAAAACATTCTACTGTTTGTTTCCACATTTAATCAATGTAGAGCATACAAACATATACATATCTATTATTTCTGCATTGTTGAAAATATAGAACATCTGTATTAACACAAGCATTAAATAATATTACCAGACCAAAGCAAAGGCAGAGTATTTTTTATCTCGTTACTCGTATTATATACTTTCCTATGTCTATGACTATTAATTCTTATACATTTTTTGTAGTATAATCAATGACAAATCAATGACGAATTTCAATAACTACTGCTCAATAATCTCATTTTAGTCATTTCTGCATTGTAAAACAGATCGATACAATATTATAGAGTCTTTTTTATCTCACAATTTATATTCCAATTCCATAGTCATAGTCATAGAGACAATCAATTTTTTGCTCTTAATCTGTCCTATATTATATACTAGTAACCTAGTTATATAAATAGTTTCTCTGTATATATACGTAATTCATGTCTACTATGTATTTATTGTCAGGTTGGTCTTCACACGGAACCCATGTCCTAGTCATGACTACAAATGAAGAGGATGTATTAATATGTGACAAAAAATCTCCCCCCGCTCAAAGCTCTAATAGTCCGTTGATAACGTACAGGGCGCTTATATATAAGCAACCTAGTTGATAATGAGGAAAGATTGGCATGACATGGTTCATCATCGTCTCGGCTCGAAAAAGTATACAAAACAGCAGCATAAACCCCAAAAATTTGATCGATGTTCACAAGCAAACCTTGACCAGCTATTCTAAAACATCTGACAGTATCGTTTCAAATGCAGTTTCTTTGTTTATCAGTCTTTTATTAATTTTTAAAAGTGTTGCAATATTTTATAGCAAAATGAAGGTTCCGGTTCAAATAAAAGTTCTTGCTACGTGAGGATATTTTGATATTTATGTTATGTCTTTGATGTCTTTATGTCTATGAAGTTGCTCTCAACCTCTCTTGTATACCGGCTTTTTGGTCGACTCTGCTACGCCATCACTGACGTCATCATTCATCCATCGTGTGATATAGGTGGGATTTCTTCGCTAACGTTTAATTTGCTACATCTGTGCCGAATATTCTGGGTGAAGTGGTGATTAGGCCAGGTTATATAGGTCAAACTCCCAAACAAACTATGGCCTTAATATATTCCACAAGTTGTCTTTGCTTTGGACATACTAACGATGCTCGTCTATGTACGTATATATTTCATGTCAATCCTAATCGTGCCCAGGGTGCCCCTGTTATGAGCTATATATATATATATATATATATATATATATATATATATATATATATATATATATATATATATATATATATATATATATATATATATATATATATATATATATATGCTTGAAGATCGTCTTGAATAAGGCGTAAAACTTGAGTAGCAATAATTAATTTTAAGATATAAATATATATATATATATATATATATATATAAATTTTTTTATTTGTTTATCCCTAGCTACACTGGAACCAAACACTACTTCATATAGTATTTTTGCATCTTGATTTTGTATTTCCAGATCTGTATTTCCAGATCAAGATCTATCAAACGTCATTGGAATCGATATTGCTCAAGGATGCGTTTCCTGAGGCGCTTCCGAAAGCAATCCAAGACCAAAGTTGTTACGCCGACTTTCAAGTACTTCTTTGCTTAAAATAGACACGGTTATCATTTCTGATTTAATCTGGCAACACATGCTCCTTAGCCTCCTTTGACCGCTGCATGTTTTGACTTTCAGGTGCCTCAGTGCCTGAATCACGGGAAGGGGCGAGTTCAAGGATAGCAAGGCAAGTTTCTCCAACTGCTCTTCACTCACAGGGCAGGGGATCCGGTCCCTCTTTCTAATTAAGATGCATTTTTTATTCAAAGTGAAATTTGTCCAAAATATATATTATATCCGCAATCATATAATAGACTCCATGCAGTCTTCAATTATTTAAAAATTAAAATTACTCCCTAACATGCTCCAACAAGAAAGCTATTATATACCTCGGCCAAAGAATAGAGACAAACAGAAGGTCGACGTCTTGGTTTTTCCAATGATTTTGGCGTAACCGTAATTCGTCATCAAAATGCTGACGCCATGGTCGTAGCCAGTGCGCTTATGAGTGGCGCTCACCCCCCTGATAATATTCAAAATGGCAGACGTCCAGGGAATGAGTGCCTCTCATAAGCGCACTGGCACCACTGACTGGCACTGGCTAGGACCATGCCGTCAGCATTTTGATGACGAATCATATTCGAATCATGGCGTGGCAGCGGTTACGCCGTTGTTGGCTGAATCGACCTTCTGTGTGTCTTTATTCTGTGCCTCGTCTATATACATGGCAATTCCTACATAAAATTTGGCATAACGAGCCTTTCCTAATGAGAATCCCTTTCAGCTCAGAGATTCTGCCGGCGTCTCTGTTCACTTTACATCCTTCAATTCCGACCTCCATTTGTAAAAGTGCGAGATTTTCCAACCAATTCTTTAATAATACATTTATAGCTCTTCCATTTAGTTTTGATTACCAGATACAAATGCCTTGACACCTCATTACCAATGCCTCCATGGTCGTGTTGTTTTGTTTATTTCGAAAAGTTAAAATGCATGCAAACACAAAGGAAAGTATTTTTCCGAAGGGAAGTGTTTTTCCCA